CAGTATACCAGATGCCCTGACCACAACTATGTGTGTGAAAACAGACAATCGCTATGCTTTCAAATGAACGCAAACAGAAAATTGATAAAAGACAAAAATACACAATCACCTGTGGGAGAACACTTTTCACAGAGCAATCATTCCATATCAGACTCTTAGTCCCTCTCCTCAAAGGAAACCTGCACAACACCTTCAAGAGAGGAGCTTGGGAACTTAAATTAGTAACTCTGATGTACATGAAAAATCATGGGCTTACTAGAGAAAATAATTTTATGGTTCATTATAATGATTTGTAATACACCCTACTGCCTGCTAATCAAGATATGTAAACATTGTTGTGCTGAGCATTGCAACAGTTAACTGTTTGAAGAGCCTAAATCTCATTTTCAAAAGGGATTTAGTCATTTAGGAGTCAAAATTTGATTGACAGTCAATTTGCAGTGTTGTTTTAGCTATGTTGGTCTCAGGATATTAGGTGGGTGAGATAATATCTATTATTAGACCAACTCCTGTTGGCTTTTGAGCTACACAGAGCTCTTCTTCTGGTCTTGAGAGTCAATGGGATTTAGGCTCCTAAGGACTAGATTAAAGAGAAACTTAGGTATGGCAAGGCTCAGCATCACATCCAACTTTTAGGCACCTTGAAAGTCACTGGGATTCACAAAGCCCGAGTTTGGTGCCCAGCCTCCCTATACAATAAATGGGGAGCGAGAAGTGCCTCAGAATGGCATTCACAAAAGCCAGTATGCTAGGCTGCTCCCCACCAAAGCATGCCAATGGGAGATGCCAAGATGAGGGGTTATTCTAAGCCCTGCCCTCTCTCACTGACATATGTGCCTAAGTCTGGGCTGAAGAGAGGTGCCTGTCTTTGGTTGGGTTTCTCAGCTGGAAACCCTTTATTGAGGTTAGACACCTGCACAGCTTTTACAAGAAGCTGGGTGAGGATGACCTCCTTCATAACTTGTAGCCCTGTGGGTACAAGGGAACTCACCTGTGATGTAGCAGACCCCTGGTTGAACCCTCTGCCCGAGAAAGAATCATGGGGCCAGAGAAAGCACACTTATGAGAATGACTTGGTAGCCTGGTGGTAAGAGAACTCCCGAGAGGTGGGAGACCCAGGATCCAGTCTTCCTGTTCCAATGACTTTTTAAAATTATTTAGCCACAGTGCTTCAGCTTCAACAGAGAGATAAGGGAGCCCCACATCAGAATATCCCATAACCAAGTGGCTACTGCATTTCCCTGAGAGACGGAGATACCTGTTCAAATCCCTTCTTTTCAGGTGGAGGGGGGACTTGAACTAGGGTGTTTCTCCCATCCCAACTGAGTACCCTAATCACTAGGCTAAAAAGGAGGTCATCCTCCCAGCAGCCACTTTGTGTAAGCTCACCAATAGGGGCCCAATCCAGTGGGTGAGTGCTGAGCATGTTACCAGATCAGGTCTCCTGAATTAGGGGAGGGACATCTATCTTCCTGCAGTTTGTGCATTGCTCTGAGGCTTAGCCCTCCAGACACCTGGTGTGGGGTTGCAGTGCACATGTCCACAGGCAGAAGCCTAGGTACCTGGGGAATTTGAATACAAAGGTTTGGGCACTGAAAGAGCTTGGGCATCTACAGTACTTGGCAGCAGTTCAGTGGGGCGGGGAGTTGTGATTCCCAGTGCGGCCTGATTCCACAATTTAAGTGCCTAAAGTGACATCTAGAGGCCTAATTTCTTTTGTGAATCCAGCCCAAAGTGCCTATGCCACTTTTGAAAAGGAGATTTAGGCTCCAAAATCAGTTCAGCATTCCAATGCTGAACACAACAATGCCTAAATACCTTTAAAAATCTGGGCCCTAGAAACTAAAATTATGTTTTGTTTTGAATGAAAGATTAGCTTCCATAGAATAAGAAGCCAGCATTTCAAGAGATGCAGGAATGCTATACTGGCTACAAGCAAGTATGCTCTTTAGGTAAAGGAAGGAGACCTGCTGGAGTATGCATACTACAAACTTGTCCAGTCTATGCTCTTATCAATTACGGTACAGAATACAAGGCTCACCAGTCTCTTACCTTGGGAGAGGAAATAGTTTCCAGTGTTTTAGTTCTCTTTTAGAATCAGGGTACAGGGGAAAAAAACAACACTCAGTGCTGAGAGAAGCCATCTTGAATCATTTGAGTGAACATCAGGGTGGCTGATTTATAGCCTTATATAGTACCACATGGTGGCAGCTATTAAGTACTGTAGTACAATAACCTATTGTAATGGATAGAGAAAGTCAAATGTTAGTTTGAATATTTTTTTTTTCAGGTTTCAGAGTAACAGCCGTGTTAATCTGTATTCGCAAAAAGAAAAGGAGTACTTGTGGCACCTTAGAGACTAACCAATTTATTTGAGCATGAGCTTTCGTGAGCTACAGCTCACTTCATCGGATGCATACCGTGGAAACTGCAGCAGACTTTATATATACACAGAGAATATGAAACAATACCTCCTCCCACCCCACTGTCCTGCTGGTAATAGCTTATCTAAAGTGATCATCAGGTGGGCCATTTCCAGCACAAATCCAGGTTTTCTCACCCTGCACCCCCCCACGCAAATTCACTCTCCTGCTGGTGCTAGCCCATCCAAAGTGACAACTCTTTACATAATCAAGTCGGGCTATTTCCTGCACAAATCCAGGTTTTCTCACATCCCCCCCACCCCCATACACACACAAACTCACTCTCCTGCTGGTAATAGCTCAGATGTTCTGGTTTAACTTGGATTTAAACTTGGAGAGTGGTCAGTTTAGATGAGCTATTACCAGCAGGAGAGTGAGTTTGTGTGTGTATGGGGGTGGGGGGGATGTGAGAGAACCTGGATTTGTGCAGGAAATAGCCCGACTTGATTATGTAAAGAGTTGTCACTTTGGATGGGCTAGCACCAGCAGGAGAGTGAATTTGCGTGGGGGGGTGCAGGGTGAGAAAACCTGGATTTGTGCTGGAAATGGCCCACCTGATGATCACTTTAGATAAGCTATTACCAGCAGGACAGTGGGGTGGGAGGAGGTATTGTTTCATATTCTCTGTGTATATATAAAGTCTGCTGCAGTTTCCACAGTATGCATCCGATGAAGTGAGCTGTAGCTCACGAAAGCTCATGCTCAAATAAATTGGTTAGTCTCTAAGGTGCCACAAGTCCTCCTTTTCATTTTTTTTTCAGTTATGCTTTCTCATCTTGTCTCTTTACAGGTGAATAGCGTCCTGCTTATTTCCAGAGTAGGTTAAGTGAGTATATTATTTTAACAGTTTGACAACAACAACAAAAAAGGAAGAAAAGAACAGCGGGGAGGGGGACTCATAAGAATTAACAGAGAAACACAGATAGGGCTGATTGGCTGAAACCAAAGGAAGGTAGCACCAGAACTCAAAGTTGGTTTCCAGTGCCAAGGTTAAAAGATATAGACTAGAATTTAGCAAGGGTGAAATCATCTATCAAAACCTAGGTTCTTGTGCAGGTGTAACTCAGTAGCAGTATCTTCAAATTGCAATTTGACAGAATTTTTAAAAAAAGGAATTTAAGAAAAAATGCAATATTTTGTTACAGAGCACTATGCTGTTTGGGCTCTGACTTTTCTAACTGCAGCTCACATTGCCCATGCTACAGCCTTAGAAGCACAGTCCTTTTTCATATTGGGGCACAGGGTCTTTTAAGAGCTGGCATGATACTGTAGGAAAAATATTGCTTGATTAGGGAAGAATTCTAACTAACTTTGGAAGGAATTTAGGATGCATCTCTAGCACCACCTTAATCTTAAAAAGGTAGGCCATGATTCTCCATTGCCTTACACCTTGTGGTGCAATCATTTACACTTGGCCAAAGTGGTTGTAAAATTCTACATTCTGATTTGGTAGTCTTTTTACACTCGCTTATATTCTCCAAAGGGGTTTTAAGTTGGATAAATGTAACTTACACCCACTTTAAGGCCCCTTTACAAGCAGATCTTCTGATCCCTTCCCAGGTGCTGTTTTATTATCTGTACAGGGGTGAAGATGTACTTCCATCCTTTGTAAATAAGCTACAATGGTCTGCAAGCATTTTGTAGAGATATGAATCAGATATCAGCTATAAGGTGACATCTGAAGTTGTCAGTGCTGTACCTGTGTCAGAAGTCTAAGATACAAGGATGTGGGTATACATCCCAATCACCAGATTTGTCTAAGGTCCACAGCACATTCCTCAAGAACAGGGATTCTCAACCTGGGGAGCAGGAGTGTGAACAGGTGTCACAGGGTTGTGACCGTCCCCCAACCATTCCCACATTGCTAAAGGGAAGGAGAGGCCTGTTTATATGGGAAGAGAGTTTCCATATGGAAAAGGCTGAACACCACTGCACCAGAACACAGGATGATTGTTACTAGAGACACAGTTTAAACTTTCATAAGATAGAAAATAAGATTTCCAAACTTGACAAGGAACTTTCTTCATTTTAAGACATCAGGACAGACCTAGAATAAAAATCTTTGCTCTTTCATGCTGTAGGATTAATTTGATAGCTTTCTATAGCAAGAAAATTTGGAAGTCCTGCAACATCTTTTCCTCATTGTTGTTGATCTGGTGAGCATTATCACTAACCAGGACATCTCTATTGATCAAAATCTGGAGCCTTACTTTACAGTCCTCAGGACCCATCTGAGGTGACAAGGGACCATTGTCAATCTCCTTCAGGAAGATCCTATGAGACAGAAACTGGCTGACCAGCTATTTGCTCTGGAGCCTCATAGATTATGGCTGTAACATTTGGGGGTTTAGGGCCTTTTGTTTCTGTCACAATGGTGGAGGACTTTGAATGTAGTGAGTACTGAGATTTACTGGTAATATTCCAATGGTTTGATCCTTCAGTCTGAACTGAATAGATGTACCATCACTCTTAACCTTTTGGTCAAAATCCTCACTGTTCTTGACTAAACCAATTCCAGGAAACATGTCTCTTAGAAATTTCAGTGCACAAGGGGAAAAAAAGCCTACACAATTTAGAAACTTGTTCAACATTTATTTTCTTTATTGTACAAGTGGTATTAATAAATGATAATACACTCTATGTGATCAAATAACAGTTTGAACTGTTGGTTTCTCCAACAGCAGGGCTGTTGTTTTTTTGTGGGGTGGGAAGGTTCTAAAGTGCATCTCAGGACAACTTTATAACACTTTACCAAAAAAGACCCCAGCCATTTCCTTTTGGCTTTTTAATAAACTGTCAACAAGGTGGCAATACAACCACAAGATACAATATAATTAACGTTCTTTAAATTCTGTACCACTAAATATACTGTATGCATAACAGTTTGCCACATCTTCCATTAAGATATTTAACATTTACTATAGAAGTTTCTATAAATTAAATGAAGTATTCTTTATGTAAGGTATAAAAACACCAATTCTTTTCTCTACAAGAATACTGTCACTTATCACAAAACAACAACAACAACAAAACAAACAAAAAACCCCCACAGATGAACCAACACAGGAATCTTGAATAAATGTAATATAGCTGAGGCGATAATATCAGTAATAGCTTATCTTCGTAGTAAACATTAGCCTTATGCGTATCCCACTTGAATTCATTTAATTAAGAAGCTGAAAAGAAAAGGAAAATATGATTAAATGCTGAAAAATGCATAGGAAACGTGGTATCAAAAATTATTTTAGAAGAATCAACAAGGACTTTAAAACTTAAATTCATTAATGGGGGCAGAGATAGCAAGGCCTCAAAATTACATAGGGTGAGAAGCATGAATATGATATGATAAGAACCTGGAAGACAATGAATACTTTTAAAGGGGATATGGTTAGAGCCATGGGAAGGAAAAGATGAATTTAGCAGTGACAGTTTGGACAGACTAGATGGGAAACAGGTGAGAACAAATTTCAGAGTAGCAGCCATGTTAGTCTGTATTCACAAAAAGAAAAGGAGTACTTGTGGCACCTTAGAGACTAACAGCTCACAAAAGCTTATGCTCAGATAAATTTGTTAGTCTCTAAGGTGCCACAAGCACTCCTTTTCTTTTAGGTGAGAACAAGTGGGTGAGGTGAGATAGGACAAGGTTACAGTAGCAAGACGAGAAATTATCCTAATTTTTGTGGGAGCGAAGCTCCATTGTTTCAGTGCTGACAGAGGAAGACACCTGCTATCCAGAACTTATCAACACTGAAAGAATGGAGCTTTGCTCCCACAAAAATTAGGAGCTTCACATGAAGGGAACGTATCTGCAATGAATTCCACTTCTGGGTGGCTTAGGAGCCCCGATGAGGCTGAGTTGTCTCTCAAGCAGTGATCTATCTATGCTGCTTCTTCCTGTACAGCAAATAAAATGATGATGGACAAGCTGAGGATTTGGAAGGTGGCCGAAAAATGGCAGTTTGTGTATTGAGTATTCCTCAGAGTTAGCCAGATTTGAGGTAGGTAGCCTATTTTGCAGAATGACACAAGCTGGAACATGAATCTCAGTAAATATTATTTAGAAATAGATTTACCAGTTCATAAATTCCAAGTAAATCCATTTAATTGCGAAAAAAGTCAAGCTAGTAATAACTATTGACTAAAACCCCTGAACATAAAAGCATCTAGTCCGTCATAAACAGATTATACCCTTACTTTTAACCCTTTGTCTGTCTGAACAAATATTCCTTCTGTTAAATACTGTCTTACAAAAAACATGTGACATAACATTGCCTGCCTTACTAACAGTTGATTATTTGACCCCCCCCAAAATAATCCTACTTAACTTCCTTCAGCTTGTGTTGAGCTATTGAAACAACTGTGTGGAAACGTAGCGAGGGAGCGCATATGGGATTCATGTACTGAAATGAGCTTATGCAATGTCAAAGGGCATTTTTAATTACCATAATGCTCATATTTTCTGAGTGTACTCAAGGAATTTTTCAGCTACATGGTATTTCACCATTTGTCTTTATTTTGGTTGCATGAACTGGTATTCTCCAAGCAATCACCAACAGTTCATGTTTGATTTTATTTCATAATATACATATTAGAAATCTGAGGTGTGGTCTCTGGTATGACGTTTTTATATTTATAATGACATGCCGCAGATTAGTTCCTCTTGTCTGTTGCTCAGTGCTGATGGGGTTATCCTTCCCTTCTTAGTTTCTTTATCTTTTCTCCTAGGTTTACTTATTTTAATAGCACTTGAATATAAAGGCTACTAAGGATAACACACTGACCATAAAACATTATTTTACAATAGTAACCACCATATAAAAACATAAATTAAAAGACGGTACTGACGGACGTCCAGAGACTTAAAAAAATATTTGTCACAATTTTTGCAGTTGTAGAAAACATCTAAAATCAAGCGATAAAAAGGAAAAGAAATCAGGAATCTCATGAAGACTCTGAATTTGAAGGGACAGTTAAAGACTTCCAAGTGAAGGTTAATGGATTAGCTGTTTTTGAGCCTGAAGACCTTTATTTATGCCCCAAACAGGTAAAGTAAAGGAAGAGGCAGAGCCAGTTATTATATAAGGGCTTGATTCAAACCCCATACATATCAATGGGCTTTGGATCAGTACATTTTTGATCAGGCTTTCAATGTGCCTCAACCCTATCCTAAAGAAACCAGTGCTAGGATTGTTAAACCTCCTCACCTTCTGCAGCTGAGACTGCTCATGCAGGGGCTAATTAGAGCCAAATGTCACAGTAATGCTTTGTGACCTGAACATCACAGTGCAATGGACTGTACCTCCCTCTAAAAATAATTAGCCGAATTGAACAACACATTAATCAATGCTTATCACCAAGTCACAGAGCTTACAAATTAGTTCTTCTGTTTCTTTTCTTGGGAAAAACTAAACTGTTGTCAGAAATGTTATTCTCTAGGAACACTGAGTAAACATTTGCTTAATTGATTATCACATTTGTTTTATTAAGGAGCTACTGTCTCTTTGTTTATGTGGTTTTAGTAGTTTAAAGTGGCACTATCAACTTGAAATGTATTAATTATGGGAGTTTAAAACAGTTTCTGTTGGTATGTTTGCCCCTTCCAAATTTCTGTAAGTTTATAATTGCATTCTTCTCTTTATTTAAAAATGTATGTGCCCAGCCTGCTAATAGGTAACAGAACCTCCCAAATAAATGGGGAATGGGAGAAGAGTAGGTACTGACTTAAAAATGGTAGATGAAACAATTTCAGACAAGTGTAAACTTAATGTTCTAACTAATCTGTCATCTTGTTGTCAACTTTATTTACTCTCACAAAAATGCACAGGTGACAGTGATGATAAAAAATGGCAACTGTTTTCAAAGAAGTGGAATATAGTTGATTTCCGATGATGACGGTGAGGGATAGGCAGCTGAAGAGCCTGCTGACAGTGGATGGTATCTATCAGTTGATCAATCAGAGTACCAGCACTGGAATACCTTCATGGGGACTATGACAGAACTCCAGCATGTGTACTTGTGCAACCCTGGTTGGGAACATGCAGTCACATACATGTATATACAGTAACTCCTCAGTTAACGTTGTAGTTATGTTCCTGAAAAATGGGACTTGAAGCGAAACGATGTGAAGCGAATCCAATTTCCCCATTAACACCCCCTATTTACATGAATTCTTATGGGGAAATTGGATTCGCTTCACATCGTTTCGCTTAAAGTCACATTTTACCCCAATATATATACACACACACACAGTATAAGTTTTAAACAAACAATTTTATACTGTACACAGCAATGCTGATTGTGAAGCTTGGTTGAGGTGGTGGAGTCAGAGGGTGGGATATTGCCCAGGGAATGCCTTACTGCTAAATGATGAACTAGCGCTCGGCTGAGCCCTCAAGGGTTAACTTGTTGTTAATGTAGCCTCACACTCTACAAGGCAGCACGAATGGAGGGAGGGGAGACAGCATGGCAGACAGAGACACACTCTGTGTGTGTGTGTGTGTGTGTGTGTTGCGCATTTCCCCTTTAAGTACGCTGACCCACTCTTAAGTACACTGCCTTGTTAAATTAATTAGCAAGCTGAGACCACAGCTGCTGCCAGGAAGCTCCCTCCATCCTGAGCCCTGTCATGTGTCCCCCTGCTCTATGGAGACGGGGTAAGTGGGGTGCAGGAGCAAAGGGAAGGGGGACACCCTGACATTAGCCCACGCCCCTCCCTCGCCCCTTCACCCCCCGCACAGGAAGCAGGAGGCTTGGGGGGCAGCTCCAAAGCAGAGGGCAGGAGCAGCACATGGCAGTGGGGGGAGGCTCAGCTGAACTGCCAGCAATTGATAGCCTGCTGGGCGGCTGCAGCACAGGGAACTTAGAGGAGCGCGGAGCTGATATGGGGGCTGCCGGTCCATCCTGGTTCCAAGCCCCCACCAGCGAGCTGCAATGGGCTGCTCTTCCTGCAAGCAGTGGACAAAGCAGGTGGCTGCCAAATGACCTTAGAAGGGAGCATTGCACAACTTTAAACGAGCATGTTCCCTAATTGATCAGCAATATAACAACAGAACAACATTAACCGGGAAAACTTTAAGTGAAGAGTTAGCCGTGTTAGTCTGTATCCACAAAAACAACAAGGAGTGTGGTGGCACCTTAAAGACTAACAGATTTATTTGAGCATAAGCTTTCGTGGATAAAAACTCCATTTTAAATTGAGGAGTTACTGTACTCTGCTTCTGACTGTGGGTTTCATATCACAGCCCCCCCAAACTTATCCCTTCATCATCCAAACTCCTATTCTTCATTGCTCTTCTTGAAGACAAATATAAAAGAGATTTGCAGTTTCTCAGCCCTTGCTGAGTCACTAATTTAATCACTCTGCTTATTAAGGCCTAACTTTTACTCTAAGCCCCCTGCAAATACATAATTGTTCAAAGACCAGACCTGGCATTAAATTGCTCCCAAGGGGAGCGGAACTTAATGATAACGAGCCCCTATACCTGACAAAGATTACTTCCTCTGCCATGCTTGTTGGCATATTGGAGGGCAAAGGACCCACCACATGCACACTCATATATACAGTAGATTGATAGCAGCCACATGAAGGCTGCTTTTCTCTCTGTGCCTCTACTTACACCCTTCCTCCCCTAAGTTGCAGAGCTAGACTCATGGCAATTTAGCCATTATTCATTAATTTACTTTCTGTCTTGCATGTGTTTCTGCTCATACAGTGGCTCTCAAACTTTCCAGACTACTGTACCCCATTCAGGAGTCTGATTTGTCTTGCATACCCCAATTTGCACCTCACTTAAAAACTACTTGCTTACATAAGAACGGCCATACTGGGTCAGACCAAAGGTCCATCCGGCCCACTATCCTGTCTTCTGACAGTGGCCAATGCCAGGTGCCCCAGAGGGAATGAACAGAACAGGTAATCATCAAGTGATCCATCCCGTCGCCTAGTCCCAGCTTCTGGCAAACAGAGGCTAGGGCCACCATCCGTTCCCATCTTGGCTCATAGCCATTGATGGACGTATCCTCCATGAATTTATCTAGTTCTTTTTTTAACCCTGTTATAGTTCTGGCCTTCACAACATCCTCTGGCAAGGAGTTCCACAGGTTGACTGGGAGCTGTGTGAAAAAATACTTCCTTTTGTTTGTTTTAAACCTGCTGCCTATTAATTTCATTTGGTGG